ATAGTAAAACATTATATTCTATAATATGTTTGAAATATAATTTAAATAATAATAATAATAATTATTATTATTATTATTTGAATAAATACAATATATAAACATTATATTATAAAATACATACATTAAAATATTAGAAATATTATAGACAGCCCTGAGGATGTATATTCCTTTTTAAAAGCATTCTGACATTTGTAAGCCATCAGCCAATGCGATTGAATGGAATTATCACAGGATATGAGCAAGCAATGAGTACATGCAAATGATGAGAAGCCCTGGCTTATGTTGTCATACCATGCATATACTGTATTTGTAAAGGTTGAATTCCTTGGAAATAACACATTATGTATAGCTGACCTGGAACTGTCCACTTAGGGCATAAATACAGCAGGATACAGGAGTGATTATTACTACATGTCCCCTTGAGTGCCCGCAGCCATACGCTCCACTGTGTAGGGTAATGACGTGTAACTCCCGTCAATGAGTATGCAGGCTTATGTGTGTCCTTATCTGTGTGTGTGTGTGTGTTTGTGTGTGTGTGTGTGTGTGTGTGTGTGTGTGAGAGAGAGAGAGAGAGAGAGAGAGGGAGAGAAAGGTCGTATTAAGCTTGTCTGTGTGTAATTACTGTGATATTTGCAGACGCTTTTGTGTAGCAAGATTGAGATTGCTGAGTTATTTTGAATGTGCGTGTGTGTGTTTTATTTAATCTGTGAGGCATGTAGCTTGTGTGTGTATGTTGGAGGGTGCCAAAGGATATGGTGTGCGTGTGTGTTTATACAGAGGACTGGAGGCCGAAAGAGCAAGCAGAGCACCTCATTAAAGCAGTAAATGTGGATGGAAGAGGTGGAGCTTGGTGTCCTTTAAAATTCAGTCCACTGCACAGTTATTCAAATACATCAAAATGTTATCGGGCATCAACATACACCAAAGAACAACATATGAAAGGGCACACAGGCTCCAAATAATCCACAGGTTCTCTGCTCATGATTGGAGGGATGGAGAAAAGAGAAATAGTGAGTGAGTGAAACAGATTGAGAAGGAAATGGCTATTTAGTCTCCACAGTTCTCCTGAGGGAGTCTACCTGTGACTGCTCTCAGACTGCAGTTTAAAGCAGGTTTACTCCATAGTGCTGCCTGGCAAGAACCTCTCAGACACGCTGTCACTTAAATAGACTGGCCTCTGACAACCTCACACATATTAGGCGGAACTGATGTAATTTAGGATGAGCAAAAACAGAAACACTGGAAAGCCAGTTCAGCAGCCAAGCTACAAAGAATATACTGTTTCTTCACTGTTGTCAGTTGATGTTGAAATTAAAAATCTCTAATTTCTTCTATGGAACACAAAAGGAGAACATTAGTAGAATGTTCATGCTGCTCTTTTTGTTACAAATACATGCAAAAACCAATGCATGTTTCAGTTTCAGTTAGACTAAAGCAATCATTTGTCTTTTGGAAATGTCATGACCTGGACAATGCGACTGTAGCTTGGCTCCATTTACATTGTAATGTTTAGCATGCCATGCTTTATTTTTGTCAGTGCTGTTTCAAATAACATTGACTTAAATTATGGTAATTTTTCTTTATTTAGAAATTATTACTTATTATTACTTATTTAATTATTCCTTTAATTAATTATTAGCATAAGGGATATCAAGCTGAAAGTGCATTTTCAATTAAGTTCTTAGTTTATGCAAGTAAAAACTATAAATTAACATGATTTACCATTAATAACCAGTAAAAGATATTCTCAGAAATCCCTGCATGACATATACATTGTGTTTCTTATTTTTTATTTTTTTGATACTGTACAAAGGGCGTTTTGTGCTACATATTCTGTTATTAATTTTGTTTACTGCATTATTTGAGTGTCATGTGAGTTACCTTCATGGTCTACTGTATATATGATTATTGGCCTTGTTTTATGGATGCAGGCAATGAACTCTGATTCATCTTGTGGTTTTCTGTTGTCCCCCCTGTATTCCCTTGGTAGTTATCAGTACATTTTAAAGTAGAAAGTAGAAAGTTAATTTTGTTAGTTCAAGAAGATTTGTATATTGACATTATACCACTTAATTAAATATACGCTGTAAAATAAGTTGTAAAATATACAGGCATCAATATCCCATCTCATAATACCTGAAACATTGACATCGTATTTTTTTACAGTGAATTTTTGGCAACCACAGCTGCTATTTTATTTTATTTTTTTGTGTAAATATATTTTTATAGTGTAACTTCTAGTCTGATTGCATCAGCTTAGTTTATACTCAACGAGTCCCATGACCACAGACAAGCTGAACATTCAATACAGTCATCAGTCATCCCCGCCGAGGGTCTGGTACGGCCGAACAGACCTGTGGAAATCTGTTTGTGAGATGGTGCCAGGACGGGCAGATGCTGCCAGGATCTTTAGCAGGGCCAGAGAGAGCACAGGCTGGCCAGAGGTGTTCACATCGTGTTTTACGCCTCTACTCAGGCTAACACAAACCACTGCAGGCGGCCAGTGTGTTACTGTCATTAGAGGGTCAGATGACATGGCCATGTGCTCCCTGTCATGAGGAACTTTTCAGAACAGGGAAGCAGATGAGTGAGAGAGTGAGAGAGCCGCACACTTCCAATCTGCTTCCACATTATCACACACGTGGGAAGTGGCAGCAGCCATGTGGCAAATAGATTCCATTGAAATGTTTGCAAATGTGTTACTGATTAAAAACCAAATGTGTTTATGTTATTATTCTATCTTGGAAACTTTTTATCAGGACATTTGTTACTACTTTTGAAATGACAAATTACAGTTGTCCTTCAATTTATTAACAATTTTACTCCTAAGTTTTATTTAAAGTTAGGGAAGAGCTTGAGATTAAATAAACAAACTGACAAATTACTTAAACTAGTAAGCATCTGAAAAGTGTTTTAAGAGTTTATTTTCTAGCAGTTCACAGGGCCAAAAATGTCCCGTTAAGGAAATTGCCATTTTATTTACATACACTACCGTTCAAAAGTTTGCAGTCAGTACGATTTTTAATCTTTTTAAAATTAATTGTATTAAGAATTTTATTGAACAAGGATGCAATTGATCAAAATTGAGAGACTGTTACATTGTTTCAAAAAATATTTTTTTAATATAAATGCAGCTTTTAACGCTATTCATAATCATGATGCATCACGGTTCATCAAAATGTGTCACCGTTTCCAATGATTTCAACATTGATAATAAAAAGAAATTTTCTTGAGCACCAAATCAGCATATTAGAATGATTTCTGAAGGATCATGTGACACTGAAGACTGGAGTAAAGATGATGAAAATTCTGCTTTTCTATCACAGAAATAAATTGCACTTGGAAATATATTTAAATAGAAAAGAGTTGTTTTAAACTCTAATAATATTTCATAATATTACTGTTTTTACTGTATTTTTGATCAAATAAATGCAGCCTTGGTGAGCATAAGACTTCTATCAAAAACTTTACAAAACTGTACCCACCCCCCAAATTTTTTTTTAATATTTTTAGCCTTTTTGTCACTTTTTATTGATAGGAAAATAGAAAAAGAACAGGAAATGATGCGTAGAAGAAGAGGGAAAGAATCAGTAAAGGAGTGTGACTCACACTCGCATAACTCTCAAGTACATCAGTGTGACTGTCTCAGATAGCATTGCAAGTTTAAAACCCCATGAGCAAGGCACTAAAACTCTGTTCAGTCAGCCAATATATCGCTGCAATTAATGTTGTCATTTAGAATGAAGTCATATGCCAAGTGATATCAAATAAAGGTAATGAATATGTTCTGCTGATGCCTGTTGCCAGGAAGCCAGTTCAACAATATGTTGTAGATGAATGAGCACTGTATATTAACATTGTATGAATTGACAAAAAAGAAATATAGTAAAGTATGTGAAACCATTCAAGACAAGCACATATGGTATGGTGAGGATCTCAATTCAATGTGCCATATGTCTTCGGTAATGGCTAACACAGAAGGATGCAGTCCCCCACCTTCCTTTCCCTTTTCACTTTCTCTCTCTCTCTGTCTCTCCAGGTCCACAAAGCTCAGCCCAGACAGAATTAATGTGCAAGTCATCAGTCACAGAGGAAGCAGAGCCATGTGATAAGAACACCCCCAATATTACCTCAGATCTCACGGCAGCATCTGTTATAGACATGTCACAATCATTATTGCTCAGCACCAAGCTTGTGACTTTTATATACGGTGCAGAGAGAGCAGTTTAAATGAGTGTGCCTGTGTTGAATATCACCTTCTCTTTATAAGATGTAATTTGTTCGTTTATTTCATGCATGTGACTTCAGAATGAGACAGTATCTATATATCTGACAGATGAAGTGTTTATGTTTCAGCCGGATGTTGAAGTGAGTCATAGTGCATGTGATGAAGGCCAGTGGTCACAGACACACACACACACACACACACACACACACAAAAACACACATGCTGGCACCCTGCACTGCTTGTGGTCTGTTGCATTGTGGGGCAGGCAGTTTGGGTGATGGCCATGCCTATCGCTCCTGCTCCCCCTGTGCCCCTCAGGCGGCCCCTGCTGGGATTTGGGCCTTGGGCAGCGAACAGACTGCAACTTCAATCTGTTTAGTTGCGGGACTGAAACGTGAGGCCCGGAGCCACAGTGAAAAATAACCTCAGCCAGGGCAAAGATAGCAACAACAGAGTATGATACAGCATTAAAATACAAAACAAAACAGATTGAGGCCATTTTGCCACCAACAGGGAGAGGAAAAGATATGCAGCGTTCAAGGCAGCAGAGATAGAAAAGCGCCCTGCTGTTTGGTAAATGTCAGCGAGAACCTTTTTGCGCATTGATTATCTGCCTCTTCAGAAACTCCATCCGCAGCATTTCAAGTCCAGTGATGCATATAGAAACGTTTACTAATTGCTTCTCAGAAGTGAATAATAAAACCAGCGAGATGTTAACAATGCGACGTGAATGATGTCTGTATTGTAAATCATGTTCTGTTGTCGTCTCCAGTCTGTTCGCAGTTCTCCAAAGGAGTGTACGCCATCATCGGCGTGTACGACAGGAAGACCGTCAACATGTTGATGTCGTTCTGCGGTGCGCTACACGTCTGCTTCGTGACGCCCAGCTTCCCCATGGAAAACTCCAACCAGTTTGTTATCCAGCTGAGACCCGAACTGCAGGACGCCCTGGTAGGCGTAATCGAACACTACAAGTGGTCTAGGTTCGTCTACATGTACAGCTCGGACTCTGGTGAGACCTGCTTTTTATGATCTAAATCTTTGGATTTTGGGGGGAATTTACTAAGAATTAATTGCACCCACTAATAGCGATGTTTATTTGAATGTTTTTATTTGGTTTTTATTTGATGTATAGTTGCTTACTATACTGATGTATAGTATTATTTAATAATGACATTAACAATAATAAATATTTTTTATTTAAATGTAATTATTATTAAAATGCAATTACATTTTCAAAATAATAATAGTAATAATAATTATTGTTATTATTAGGGCTGGGCAAGTTCACGTGTTATTATCGCATTAACGCATTAATTGATTAACGCCGACAATTATTTTATCGCGCGTTAACGCAGTTTTTTATTATTATAAAAGTCCGTTTCTCACTGGCTCTGAATATACAGACAAACCATGGGTCACAGGAGGGGTGGGATGTTGATCAGTACTGGCTTGGGATGGGTGTCACCACGCATCTCAACTAATGAGAGCATTTGGGGTGGGCCTAAGACTGCAGCAGCGCTCACATGAAGCGCTAACGACTTCATAAGTGGGAAACAGGAAGTTTCCGATAGCATGTGAAGACCGCAGAGAAGCGCTCTCGCTCAGCACAGTGGAGTGCATTGTTTTTTTAACTTTGTGGTTTATTATCTTGAGTCGTTTGGGATGCGGTAACACACACGGCCCTCTCACTGCTTTACAGATCTATCGCTTTTGCCACTCAGAAATGTTCACGCAATCATGCTGCACGTATCATAAGTTCTGTGCTC